TATGGCTTGAGATATAATGGGAAGGGGAGGATTAAATAGGTTTGATCGAGTCTAACAATATAGTAGATCCATTTTATTTATTTGGGAGTAATGCGACTATCCATAAGAAATGAAAGAATAGATAAAAAATTACCTGCACTGAAAAATATCTTATGAATTCAAGATCTTTGACGTTGAAGAATCATTTATTTATATTTTTCATAAATTCCTTTATACTTGAAAGCTAATGTATTTCCTCTCAACCGCCCAGTTAACAACAGGCAACTTTTCATGGATTAGCTTACCTTCGGTTTCAGAAACACTGAGAGGTTCTTTGCTGGCATACCCTAAATTCCTACCTCATAAAAAACAAGGCGAGTCACAGACCATAATACTAAAAAAAGTGAAGCAAGTAAGTATTTATAAGCCCTCAGTATAAAAATAATGAAATTCATGTTCAGAGAGCGAAAGAGAATAAAGAATGTGGAATGTTGGCTGAAGCCCAGCCAAGGCCAGACACAGACAATATTCAGGTCTTGCAGAACCCTGAAAAACAGCCGGGGGTCTTTGCCATTTCAGGAAGAGTCTGACTTAGAATAGAGTGGTAAATGTCCAAGGTTGGCTTTGGGCGTATCGTATGTATGACACGGAGCATTTGTTGGTTTTAAAATGATCTTATTTACTCATCATTCATCAACCATCAGCAACAGCAATATGGCCAGACTTTGGGAAAACAAGGTTGCATGAAGGAAACCCTGGCCGTGGAGGTGCTCAGAGGCAGTGGGGGAGACCGTGAGAAAGGAATCTGACCCCCAGCCAGAGTCTGTCAAGGGGACATGAAGTCGGGCCGCTTCTCTCCCAGGACTGGATGTCTTTGGCGTCATCCGCGTTGGAACTTGACTGATGGTGGAGAAGATCACGTGGGCATTCTCTGAATGGAACCAGGATGAGGCCTGGACCAGGGAAGGGGAAGTGTCTTGCCATTCCAATGTTTTTCTTTTGTCATCTGTATTTCCCTTCTCAAGGATCAAAGGAGCCAAGAAAATTAATACCAAAAGGCACCAAATCTGGGCTCTGCTATTCAGCGTGTTTACAAGGAGCCTGAATGAAGTTGTGAAAACCCTGATCACCCCCACCCCCCACAAGCCACAAGGAGTGTTTGATTCCCATTTTCTATTTTACTAGCAGGAACACTGCCAGCTTGAAAAAACGATGGCCCTGTAGGAGGTCTCTGAAAGCTATTTTCGCATGCATTTCAAGGTTTAATAATTCATTATCTTGATTTTCATGATTTCTGTAAACCAAATAACCTTGATGCAGGGAAACAAACATTCTCAGAAAAAATAGCCTCTGTGAACCAAATAACCGTGATGCAGGGAAACAAACATTCTCAGAAAAAATGGCCTCTGTAAACCAAATAACCTTGATGCAGGGAAACAAACATTCTCAGAAAAAGTGGCCAAGGAGCACCACCGGAGTCCGATGCTGAGTCTTAGTCCTGCCACTCGGGGACATGACAGAGGCAGGCCTTCCACAAGACGATTGGCACAGCGGTGGCTTCATCGAAAGGCTCGCACGAAGAACCTTCGTGTGGATGGCACAGGACTGGCAGCACTGTGTTCTATTTTACAGAGAGCTGCTCGGAAGCACAACCACCTGGTACCCAACCACAACAATGCTGGGTTTTAGGAATGTACGTTTCTGCTGTAGAGTTTCCGCAAAACAATATTTTAATTTGTTTATTTTCTTGGAGGCTCTTTGAAGAAACCGAAGTAGGAAATTCTCAGTTGAGGAGAAAAGGCCAGATATGACATTCTCCTCGAGAGCTGGCATTTCTTCAGGGAAGGGATCTCCCTTATTTATAACTTCCCTCTAGACAGAACCTCATTTGTTGTCTTGTATACATTGCCATTCAAGAGCTATTTGTAGAATGAACGAACCGATGGAGACGGCGCCAGCCCTGTCTCCCCTGGGAGCTTTTTGCCATCACAAGGTAAGAGACAAGCATCAGAACTGATCCCAGGCTATATTTACACAGTATCAACGCTCCGAATAGAGAAGGCCACTGAAAGCACACGCAGAGGCAATCACAACGACCACTCAAAAATTATTAATGGTATGTACCCAAAATGATTTGTTTAGAGCTTTGCGAAGCCTAGCAGAGTTGGTTCCAGTTGGTTTGAATGGGAAGTCACATAGATTGAAAATAGACTTTCTTAACATGGAACAATAGGCCACATTCACTT